AGCAACACAGCAGCAGCTGCTGTCACAGCAGCAGCCGCTGCAGTTGCTGCGAAAGTATTTGCTGTTTGCGCAGCAGTTGCTGCCGCCGCTGCAGCAGCTGCAGCAGCTGCAGCAGCTGTTGCACGCGCAGCCGCTGCTGCAGCAGCTATGCGATTTAGAAAAGCTAATGTTCACGAGTGCGAAAACCAAGTAAACGCACTTCCGCGTGCTGCTGCTGCCGCTGCTGCAGCTGCTGCAGCTGCTGCAGCTGCTGCAGCTGCTGCCGCTGCGCAGCAGCAGCCGCTACTGCGCAATTATGTTTTTTTGACGATTTGAATTACATCTTCGTCCGCCAGCTCGTGCCCTGCATGCAAAGCAGCAGCAGTTCCGCGAGGTGTCGAGACACCCCGACGTGCAGCAGCTGCAGCAGCAACTGCAGCAGCAGCAACAGCCGCAGCAAGAGCAGCAGCAGCAGCAGCAGCAATAGCACGCGCACCTAGCCCAACGTGCTGCGGCTGGTGCTTCGCACTAGCCCCCCAAACAAAAGCAAACTTGAAGTCCTTTAGTAAATCCTGAAAGCATGCATGCAGCAGCAACAGCGCTAGTATTACAAGCAGCTGCCTTCGCAGCAGCAGCAGCAGCAGCAGCAACAGCAGCAGCAGCAGCAGCAGCCGCAGCAGCAGTACCGAACCTTATGAATCAAAGAGACGGCGTTCCCTACGGTGCAGGGGCCTGCGAATTGAAAAAAGCGCAGAAGAACAATCCCAAACAAACTTCACGAAAAAGCAAAGTTTGGATTTAAGAGAAATTTTAAAATGAACTTCAAAAAGTGAAAAGCGCCGCAGAACAAGAGCCACATGAGTGCATGCATGCATGCAAGCCCGCAGGCATGCATGCATGCACGTATGCATGCATGGTGTACAATAAGAGTATGCATGCATGCACGTGCACAATGCATGCATGCGTGCACGCAGATGTAAAAAAGCAGTGCGCATGCATGCACGCACGCATGCATGCATGGACGCACGCATGCATGCGCGCATGCATGCGCGCATGCATGCATGCATGCATGCATGCATGCATGCATGCATGCGAGCTGCTTGGAGTATTGTTTGCGTGTGCTTACCTCTTTGTCCGGTGAGAATGATGGGCTCCGTGAAGTCCGGCAGTTCTCCTTTCTTTTTGGTGTACAGACGCTTTATTTCCAAACCCTCAAATACCACTCTTTTCAGCCGCTCCAAATTCCACCCCGCCTGGCTGCTAATCACCACGCTGTTCGGCCTGCACTCGCAGCCAAACGCATGCATGCATGCATGCATGCATGCATGCATGCATGCATGCCAGTGCATGCATGCATGCATGCATGCCAGTGCATGCATGCATGCATGCATTCTAATGCATGCATGCGTGGCTTGCTTCAGTCTTTGCTCGAGAACAGCGCCGGGGCTTGCTCCGGCTCTTCTCTCCAGCCGCCAGCAACACCGAGTTACTAAACGCATGCATGCATGCATGCATGCATGCATGCATGCATGCATGCATGCATGCATGCATGCGTGCTTGCATGCATGCATGCATGCACGCATGCATGCATGCGTTGATGGGGCGTTGGTTCTGCTGCTGCTGCGTGGACTTCGTGGGGCGGAGCGGGTGGATTGCGGTGTACGTACACCGCAGTGGGGTGTCTCACCTGCGGGCGAGTTCGTCGATTTCTTTCAAAGGGAGCATATCCACTTTATTGTAAACATAAATGCATTTCAAAAACCTCCGATTTCCTTCAATTACATCAATAAAAGCATCCGTCTGCAAACCCCCAAACCCCACAAACCCCCACAATAACCCCTCAATACTGCGGAGAAGGGTTTAGGGTTTGGGGCTGCTAGGGTTTAGGGCTGCTAGGGTTTGGGGCAGCTAGGGTTTAGACCTCCTAGGGTTTGAGGCTGCTAGGGTTTCTCGCTGTTAGGGTTTCCGGCTACTAGGGCTTAACGGCTGCTAGGGTTTACGGCTGCTAGGGTTTGGGGTTGCTACGGTTGGGGCTGCTAGGGTTTAACGCTGCTAGGGTTTAGGGCTGCTAGGGTTTAGGGCAGCTAGGGTTTAGGCCCGCTAGGGTTTAGGGCTGCTAGGGTTTAGGGCTGTTAGGGCTGCTAGGGTTTGGGGCTGGCATCCTGGAGTGTACGTACACTGCAGTCCTCGCGAACAACAATGTCTGCGTTGAATATTCTGTACTCATGCAGAATTTGCTGCACTGCCTTTTGTGTCAGCTGCAGCAAAACGCACTTCTGCAGCAGCAGCAGCAAACCCTCAGCGCTGGCCCCGGGCTTAGCGGGCCGCAGCAGCAGGAGGCAGCAGCAGGAGCAGCAGCAGCAGCAGCAGGCGGCAGCAGCACCGGAACAGAACACCAGCCGCAGCAGCAACAGCAGTGCTGCAGCAGCAGCAGCACTGCTGCAGCAGCAGCAGCACTGCTGCAGCAGCAACACTGGCAGCAGCTACGTGACAAGAACGGCAGCAAACGAAGCAGTGATGTGCTGCACTAGTGCAGCTGCAGCAGCAAAAGCAAGAGCAAAAAAAGTACAACTGCAGCACCAACTGCGACGATTGAGACGGCAACAGCAAGAGAAGCAACATCAACAGCAGCAGCACCAGCAGCAACAGCAGCAGCAGCAGCAGCAACAGCAGCAGCAACAGCAGCAGCAGCAACAGCGGAAAGAACGAAGTGGTCCTACCGCGTGAGAAGCATCTGCTGCGTGTCATCTTTGGTGCTGTCCAAAACCATCAGCACCATATCACAAGAATGGGCAACAGCAATAACCTGCAGCAGCAGCAGCAGCAGCAGCAGCAAGAAGCAGAAAAGCATTTTGCTTCAGTTCATAGTTGAAACGATCTCCAGCCAGCAGCAACAAGAACTGCAAATTCCTGCTGCAGCGGCGCACGTCACTGCTGCTGCGGCGCAGCAGCCACCGACCTTCCATCAAGAGCAGCAGCAGCAGCAGCAGCAGCAACAGCAGCAGCAGCAGCAACAAGGGTAGCGAGAGAAAGCGAGTGAGCACAGCAGCAGCAGCCGGAGCAGCAGCCGCAGCAAGAGTAGCGCGCGAACGCGGGAGCGCCCAGCGGCGGCAGCAGGAGCAACAGCACAAGCAGCAGCAGCAGCAGCAGCAGCAGCAGCAGCAGCAGCAGCAGCAGCAGCAGCAGCAGCAAAGCTGCTGCTGCTCGCCTGCCGGCCGCGGCCCCGCCCCTCCGAAGCCCCTTCGATAATTCCGGGCAAATCCAGCAGCTGAATTTTTGCGTCGTCGACGGTGAACATGGAGGGTTGGCAGGTGAGGGTGGTGAATTCGTAGGCGCCTGCGCGCAAACCCTTTTTTAGGGTTTAGGGTTTGCGGCTTCCGCCCGCCTTCTGGAGCACTGTAGACTCACCCGCAGCCGCATCCGCAGCAGCAGCAGCAGCAGCTTCCGCGTCCGCAGCAGCAAGAGCAGCAGCTTCCGCATCCGCAGCAACAACAGCAGCAGCAGCAGCTTCCGCATCCGCAGCAACAACAGCAGCAGCAGC